CCACCTTGAGCTTCTGGGAATCTTTGATCCTCAAACTTGCAATTCGCGAGATGAAAGGTGTTCGCCTAGCTTCTTCAATGACTCGATTGATGTCTGGCTCCGAACTTGTAGCTTGATGAAATTTTGATTTCATTTCTTTTAATTCCTGGCTAACCTTCCTCATGGTCTCGAACTGGTCGAGGTTTTCCTGCTCGTACTGAGCTGCAAGTTGTTCTTCATCCCCGAGCTGTGTCTCTTCTTCCAACGTCTGAGCTACATTATTAGTATCACCGGGAGTTGTTTGTCCGCTGGTTTCATTTCGTGCAGCGGAACTTGGCGAGTTGAATATCCCTCTTCGGATTCCCATCAGGTTTCCTGCACTTAAAGAGCGAACACGAGTTTGTATAGTATTGACGTTTTGACTAAGAGATACCTGGGATGTTTGCAACGTATCGACGGCCTTTTCCACATCCGAGAACTTTTGTGATATGTCCGACATGGTTTGCTGCATAGCTTTGAGGGTTTCGGCCAATGATGTCTCAACGGCGTCTCCTCCGGACATTGTTGCTTATCTCGGAAGTGTGATAAAGAAAAAATCTGACCACTCAAGAATCCTATGTCCCCACAGACGGCGCCAAAATGTGGATGTCGGATTCACACACTCAAGTATTTTATTAAGTAGGAAAGATTATTCTTGAGGGACAAAAATGAATATGTAAAAACTTTATAAATTGCTACGAAAATTGCTATAGTATTTCTTTCTTCAGAGGAAGATCCCCTTTACATGGCCATTGGCCTTTATATTTATACATAGAGAAACGACATTAAAATGAGTAATTAAGTACAATTATTCCTTCTTAAATGTGTCCGTTTTGATTCCTTGACTTTAATGCTCAACGTTTGAATTTGAGTTGACTCTGATCTTCGTGGGCCTCGCCTTTTCGGCCCAAATGTCCTTGAACCGTCTTACCCGTGTCTTCTACACCGAACTCATGTCATAATGCAGTCACTTCGGATTCTCGAAGTGGTGATAACCACTTCGACCTTTCCTTCGGCTCATGGGTCCAATGAGCTTCATCCTTTATGGGCCATTATCTTGACTACGTGGCAATCTTTGGTTGGTCTCGTACTTCTGGTGCGGGATCCGACACCAACAATGGGTTATTTTCATGACGATAATACCCTTTCTCTCTTTGTTAGGAAAAAAAAAAAAGTCAAATATGCCCTCAATTTTTTTCGAAAAACGTGAAAAAAAACTTCGGAAATTTTTTTGGCTTTTTAAAAGTCTGCTGGATTCGTTATGACAGGTTTATTTTCAATGGCAGACTTATTTATCAAAGACAGATTTTCTGTGACAGATTTTTTATCTCTCACAGACTTAATTTAACAAGTTATGACATATATTTATTTTGTTGTAGTTTTTTTACTCCACTACAGACTTATTTTTTTATGACACCACAGACTTTCATCACTTTGACAGATTTATTAAAATTAGTGGCAGATTTATGTTTATAGTGGCCTCAGACTTTTTATTTTCATAAAAATATCTGTCATCAAGTGACAGATTTGTTTTTGAAAAAATAATTACTAGAATGACTTAGTAGTGATAACAGATTTTTTTAATGTTATGACAGTTTTTATTTTTTAAACAAAAAAACTGTCGAGTGATAGCAGATTTGTCATACAAAAAAAAATTGCTAGATTGACATACAATTGCAATTGAAATATTTCTGTGATGACAGATTTTATTTACATTACGACAGATTTATGATTAGTTCAAAAAAAACTGTCACATTACAACAGATTTAGTGATGAAAAAAGAAATTGTTGGAATGACTTCATATAGTGATGACAGATATGTCAGATATGTTTTAAGCAATGACAGATTTTAATTTTTATTCATATTATGACAGATTTTATATACCTATTTGATGACAGACTTTTCATGATGGACTACATATTTTAAGAATGACAAATCGTAAGTCTTCGTCGGAGTCGCGAAAGTGACTGAGTTTTAATCAATGAGGCTGAGAAAAAAAAAATGAGGCTGAGAAAAAAAACGTGAAAGGCAGTCGTAATTTAGGGCTAGTTGTTTTTGTTTTGTTTTGTTAGGGTTTTGTAATTCTAATTTAAATGTTATATTGTTTGATTTTTTTTTAAAGCCTAATAAAATTGAATTGGGTTTTTGGTCATTTTACCCAAAATTTGTGTTAGTCTAGTAAAGTACAAAACTAGGGTGTCAATCTAGTTATTAATCTCTAAATTTGAGTCAATCTGGGTAATTTTCAGTTGTTATTATTAGTAGATTATGATGGGGATTCATGGGAACCAATCCACTTAAAGCCTAAACCAGCAAGCAACAATAATAATTAGTAGCTGATGATAACTGAAACAAAAATGTTTATATATCTTGATGAATGGAAGATGAGAACTCAAATCCATTTTAAGAGGATCAGCCTCATCTTTCACAATATAAATCTTTAGCTGAGAGAAAATCTTTTAAACACTGAAGATTAATTAATCAAAATTGAGAAGCAGTCCTTCCTAATTTTCATGATATTCAAAACCTGTTTTTCATTACAAATGCAGCTCTTAGTTACTCAATAACGTCGGTTTAACCGAGAATTGCCCGTTCATTGCATACTCTGGAGCCATGTAACCGCTGCAACAACAATATATTTTTCGGTTTGTTTTTATCTTTGTAAAATGATACAATTAAAAGGGTACTTTTTTGGCAGCTTACTAGGTTCCTGCAACTTTGCTTGTAAACCCGGTCTGAGTTGTTTGGTCAGTATCAAACAACTTTGCCATTCCGAAATCCGCGATTTTCGGATTCATTGCATCGTCCAATAGAACATTGCTGGCTTTAAGATCCCTATGAATAATTTTGAAACGAGAATCTTCATGGAGATAAAGAAGACCTCGAGCAACACCCGAAATGATCCTATAACGTGTTTCCCACTCTAAGATCATTCTCCTATTAGAATCTGAGAAAGAAAACGATTAAATTAGATCATTCATCAGATAGAGATGCTTGTGTTAGGGTTTAGGGTTTTAACATACCAAATATGAAATGGTCTAGGCTTGTGTTCTTGAAGAACTCATAAATGAGAAGTCTTTCTTCTCCATCTAAGCAGAAACCTAAAAGCCTAACAAGATTACGATGTTGAAGTTTCGCAACCAATGAGACTGCGTTTATGAACTCATTTTCTCGTTGTTGTTATTTCATTGACAATCTTTTCACAGCTATCTCTTCCCCATTGTCAAGAACACCCTAGTGATAATTAAAACACATGTAAGAGATACTAAATCATCAAAAAATGTAATAAAGAACAATAAGAAACAATCAATATAATCACCTTATAAACAGCACCAAAGCGACATTCTCCAAGTTGGTTTTTAGGGGAGAAGTCATTAGTTGCTACTCTTATAGTATCAAAGTCAAGTTTCATTAGTTGTGCATCTTTAATCTTATTGTTTTCGACATCTTTGCCTGAACCAAAAGCAATAAACCCAAAAGATGTTCCAAGTTAAAACTCTTGAGAACATAGTTTCAACCTAAAGATTTAACTTTGAACTAAAATTTCCACCTTCCAGTCTCTGTTTTTTCTTTCTTCTATACCTTGTCAATAAGAAGTAAAGACAGACTACGATTACCGCAAACCCAACAACAGAGCCAACTGTCGCGATAATGATTTTTACTTTGTCTTCTTCTGCCAAATAAGAGAAAAATTTCAAGAAAGGAACAGTTGGACAAAAGAAACTAGTTGTAGATTACAAAGGCTAATAATCTCATTTTCTATAGATCAATAGATATGTAATGCAGAGTACTCTGTGTTTATACTTTTGTTTATGGTAAAACATAGTAGTAATCTGTTTGCCTAGTTCTGTTGGGGAATACACAGTATTTTTCAAAAGTAAAACATATTAATTGAGGTATAAATTCTAGGTTACAAAGGTCACACTAATTTTAGTTTACATAAATATCTAAATACAAGTAGCTAATGCAGAGTGCTCTGTTTTTGTTTATTTTTGAAACGGATTACTCTGTTTTACCTAGTGTTAATGGACCTATGGTTCTGTTTGCGAATCAGGCTCATACTCGGACTCGAGACGGAAGAATATCAAGTTACTCTCTATCTGAAACTTACAGCTGGGACTAAACCATCCGATCCCAACTCTGCCTTTTGTGGCGTTTCTTAAACCATAAAGGAGACACTTGTTGCAGTCTTTCTCAGTATGTAAGGCGAAGGGCCAGGACCATCTCCTTGAGCATACTTCCTCTTAGAGCCACCTGATGGAGCAACTTTTCTTAGTCGATCAAGTAACTTGCTCTGCAAGCGAATAAACTCGTTTCTATCTCCTGTGGCGTTGTTCGGGGTTTAACGCTTCCAAAACCGGAAACGTTTTGGGTTTTTTGAAAATTGGTTTGTTTGAATAACGAAATATACAGTTAGTGGTTAGATTCTTTGTTGCTTGGGCGATACATTTGAGACAATCTACTCGAAAGAGTACTCTATTGCAGAATCCGATGGCCTCGACTCGTTCTTGATCAGAGTCTGTTCCAACAGAGAGATTGTAGAAGCAATAAGTGTTGGAAGTGAGACAATGGATTGAAGAGACAAGATAGTTAAGATTTTTGGAGAAGGAGGAATTGGAGAAGTTGCTTTGTGGAGATAAACATAAGACCATCCTCATTGATGGGCTCTTAGGACAAATCTTATGGTAAGTGACATTTCTTATCACTAATAAAAGTCTCTTATTTAAGAAATGTTGTTGTGTTAAGTTGGGAAATAAGACGAGCAAGAAGAAGAAGAAGAAGTGTTGTAGTTGAGAGGAAGACCAAGAACAAGTCATGCTTAAACAAATTCAACGGAAAAGTCATGTGATGTGGAAACAAATTATAATATTTCTCCCAAGTTTTGTTGTGAGGCCGCGTTTATTGACTACATGAGTGGCCAAGAAAAACTTTTGTTTTTTATTTATGTTTTGATTTTTTTGTTCATTCGTTGAATAACAATATAAAAGATTCAGCGGTTTAGACAAAGAGAGAAAAAAAAAAAAAAGATGGCAAAAAAGGGTCCTTCGAGTTTGGGGATTGTCTTCTTGCTTTTACTAGCTCTCTTGGCCCCTTGGCGCATAAACTGTGTGTTTTCTTCTCGACAAGAGTTACATCCATGGCGTATCGACGGTCTCTATCAATATTTGTTTTTTTTTTTGCTTTCAAATTTTCTTTCTCATTAATGTATGTATTGATTATTTGAAATCAATATATCAGTTAATTTGGTCCTAAAACACAAATGGATTTTCTTAGGATGTCTAATCCAACAGAGAAACTGATTATCAATGGACTTCATTTGATATGGGTTTTGTTTTTCCGTTTCAATTATTATATTTTAAATTTAAAAGTTTCAAAGAAGTTAAAATTTCAATTTATTGATTTCCTTATCGGTTTTTATTTAATTATTGTTTTGATATCAATTGAAAAAAATGAAACCAAATCAGTTCAATTGTTGATACAATTTAGATTTTGGTTCAGTTTGGATCAACAGTAAAAAGGATCCTACACTATTTTGAGTATTTTCATTAAATTACTACACTAATTTTAGTTAGCATTTAATAAATTATGTGTTTTCTTTTTGTTATAAATTACATAGGAGAGAGAAGGAAGCTAATACCAGTATCAGCATCATGTAGTCTAAGGGCTCTCGGTCGCGGCGGTGGTTGTCGGGATGGTGGAGGTCCACGTCCTCCGAGAGCATCATGTAGTCTAAGGGCTCTCGGTCGCGGCGGTGGTTGTCGGGATGGTGGAGGTCCACGTCCTCCGAGACGATAGTTTCCTCGCTCGCTGTGATTTGGGATTGTCGTTGGTCTACTGTCTACACTCAGTATAAAACTGCTTCAGTTCTACCAATAAGTTGCCTTTCCAAAGAGCTGTTTAATTAGTATTGTTTTGGCGAAAAAAAAAAATATTTGTTTTTAGTTCATAAGCATATGTAAGATAATGTGATATTTAGGGGAGACATTGTTACAAGAACTTATCGAATGTTGCGATCTTCCCTCTCCAATGCTAGTCCTCGGCGTTCGGTTATCGGTTCGGTTCCATTTGGTTTCGGTTATTTCGCTTTTAAAATTTAGTATTCATTCAGGTATTTTAAAATTTCGGTTTAGTTTCGGTTCGGTTCCGATTCTTTCGGTTTTAAAATTTGGTATCCATTCGGTTATTTTGCTTTGAATATTTAGGTTATTTTTAGGTATTTTTCGGTTATTTTTGAATATTTTTACTATTTTTATATATTTTTCCAGTATTTTTGATTATTTGGTCTATAAATAAATAAATAACTAATATTTTTGAAAATATAATTATATTTCGGGTATTTTTACTTACCCAAGATATTTCGGTTCGGTACTGAATCGGTTACGGTTTTTTCGGTTATAGAATTTAGTATCCATTCGGTTATTTTCAAATTTTCGGTTCGGTTGATTTTTTTTGCTTCAGTTTCGGTTCAGTACATTTGGTTCGGTTTATTTGCCCAGGCCTATCCAATGGAATTTGACAACCACTTTGGAAACTTATTTGACTCATTAAAGCTTTCTTCATCGGTAAGCATATGAATGCTACAGCAACCACAATTCCACAGCATTGTAGTGCCCACTTGGTGACTATTTCTGCATTTCTTACACATGATTCAAGCAAATAGGAAAAAATGGTGGTAGCAAGCAAGAACAAGAGTGGCCTAGTAACTCAAAATTTCATTAACAGTCTCACTGAATCTGTGCTATGGGTAAAAACAATTTCCCAGTTGATATTACTATGCATCAGTCTGCCATGATGCAAAAGTAAAAAATGTTTACCAAAATGAGGGAAATAGAAACAGTTCCCAAGTCCTTTTTAAATATTTCTTTCTTTATATGCTTCTTTTCACTTTTTGTTAGTCTTCTTCCTCACTATCCGACCAAACCTACATAGACATCAGCAAAAATACCTAAAGATTATTAGTTGACATAAAGCTTTACTAAGTGCAGTTTTCTGAGATTATCAACAAATCTAATTCGACAGATATAGGCTTACCCTAAATGAAGTAGAGCACCCTATACGAACATTTTGCGGTACTGCTTTTTCTCTTCGTTGTCTCTAAAGGCGATCTGCACATAAGATTATTAACGTCAGCTCAAAGACTTTTGCGCTAGAAGTCACTGCAAAAAAATCCTCGGGTTCTTTAACTGCATACCGACCTTTTTCATAACAGCAGCATATTCTTTCTTGATACCAGCTGAAAATCAACTCACAGAATCAAGCACGTAAAAAAAATGTTAGTTAGATTTCTCTCACGACATATCTAGGTGTGTAGTACTGTATTGATACATTAATAATGGTGAACCAAACAAGTCAAACCACAACTAATAGATGCTTGATGAATCACTCACCGTCATTAGGTTCGAATTGAAGAGCTTTCTCAAGGCTTTCAGCAGCAGCATCGACGTTATTAAGAGCCATGTATGCCTAACATTACCAACAAACGCAAATAAGAAATAGACACCATCTTCCTCTCATGAGAAATCCATAATTTTTGCTATCGCGGTCTAGGTTCTAGAAAACTGTCGAACAATAATAAGTACCTGGCCTTGTCGAAACAATGCTTTAACATTGTTATCTTCATCACGCATAGCAAATTCAGTGTCCAACAACGCTCCTTTTGCATCTCCGAATTTGAGTTTGCAGGCCTGCCACAACAGCCAGTTACAATACAATGAGATGACACTAGTAAAAAAAACAGCTATACAGGGGCAAAAAAAGCAATTTAGTTGGACTAGTGAAAACACTGGCAACGTAAACAGAGATGCAAACAATAATTCAAGAGCAATGATTAATATGTCCCACAAGCATAATCTCAGAGAATATTATCTTGGAATTCTGTTAATGTCAAGGTCAACAACCTACCCTACTTCTTTCCCAAGAAAATAATCAAACAGCAGAAACCAACATAAATGACAGGTCTGCAGTGTATCCCACTTCAATATTTAGTTCACAACAGATTTTACAATTGCCTATCATATTATCGACAGAGCAGCTCATCCGTAAGAATTAAGCAGATTCAACAAAAAAATATCAATGTCAAAAACCCGACAGAGTAAGAAAATTAGGTTGTTTTGGATAAACCAACAGACTCCAAAGACAATCAAGCTTCAGATGGTACTTAAAGCATGCAAACACACATATAAGTTATACATGTTCCACTTACAACAGAAGATATTAACAAGGATGTAGCTTAAAAAAAGTGTAAAGGCATGAACTTACAGCACTATTAGTGAAGATCTGCGACTTTGTCTTACGCAAGGCAGTACTCGTCTCTGCATAATCCCAAGTAGAGAGTGAGTGGAAGAGATTGGTATGTATAGTACAGAGATGCAGTAAATGGAAACATATATATAGAGAAAAACTGATTAACCACCTTCATCAATGCCCTCTTTCTCCCAGCAAATATCCAGATAGCGTAAAGCCTTACGGTACTTTCTAAGAGCCATCTTATAGTCTTGTTTCTGAGAGTAAATCAAAGTAAAAAAACAGATCAGATTCAAAGAAATGAAAATATGGAACAGACGAACATATATTATTCAATTTAAAACAATGGAAAAAGCACCTTAAAGTGCTCATTCCCATGAGCCTTGACAAAATCAACAGTCTCCATCCACCAAGATAACTCAGCCGGGCCTTCATTTAGATCAATAGGCCAGTCAGGGTACACATCACCGTCCTTGAAAAAGTCACATATCCCATCATCCGCGCCCTCGGAGATTTCTCCACAGTCATGAATCACAACATCCTGAGAAGGACAAGACTGTTCCTCTATCGTAACATGCTCAATTGACCGAACAACACCCATTCCTTTCGTAACCCTTCCAAACACAACATGTTTCCCATCTAAATGAGCAGTGCGGGTAGTTGTGATGAAAAACTGAGAGCCATTAGTGTTGGGACCAGAGTTAGCCATAGAGAGCATCCCTTTCCTCTCATGTTTCAGCTCAAAGTTCTCATCATCAAACTTCAAACCGTAGATAGATTCACCACCAGTACCATCATTAGCTGATATGTCCCCACCTTGAATCATAAACCCCTTGATAACACGATGAAATCGATTCCCCTGACAACACATATACACAAATACCATAAATATATCATCCTATAGTACAAATTTCATACCTAAAGTTTTGATCTTTACCTCACCATTACCAACTACAGTAACCTAATCGCAATACTGAAACAAACTCAGAAGCTATTCAGCAATAAAGACCCATTAAACCTCAAATCATAAGCATTCAGAACCATTCTATAGTACAATTGCATCCTAAAGTTTTGATCTTTCCTTAATATACCTCAAACCCTAAATCAAAGAAACACCAAATACCCATTTCAACATTTCATACACAAGAGGGTCTAAACAAAGATATAGAGAGAAAGAGAGAACCTTGTAATGGAGAGGGACACCAGTATTTGGACCTAAACCCTTTTCTCCAGTACAGAGTAATCGAAAATTCTCAGCGGTTTTGGGAACAACATCATCATAAAGCTCAATAACAATCCTTCCTTCAAGCTCACCACCAATGCTAATGTCCATGAAACACTTTGACCTACCCATCTTCTTCTTCTTGCTCTTCTGCTTTCTTGAAACCGAAACAGAGACGAGACAGAGAGAAAGAATCGGAGGAAGAGACAAAGAACGTTGTGTATCTCTCTGAGTCTCAGTAGCTTCCGTTTCTAAAAGACTGTAGACGGAGACTTGTCTCTCTTAAACGCAGAAATCAAAACGACAGAGAAAAGAAAACCCTAGGACCCACTTTCTTCCTCCAACAAATTTTGTCTCTTTTTATTTTTATTTTATTTTTTAACAATTTAGAAGAAAAAAATGTACTATTTATTTATTACTCGCTGCCAAATTTTTTTTTAAAAATAAATAAATTTATTACTCGTCCCTTCGGGTACATTCCATATACTATAAGAGTGGATAGTAGGTGATTACCCACTATGGCCACTACTACACTACACATTAAATATTTTGTTTTATTATCTTTTTTTATAAAAAAAAATTATTTAATTTCTTCAAAAATATTGTAGTATCAGGTATTTATTTAAATACATAAATATATTTTAAAGGACTCAAGCAACTACATATTCTTGAGGGAAATTTTTTTTACCATTAAATTTTGAAAGTGATTCCAACTTACAAATTATATATTTAATGTTTTATTAGACTTGTAGAACAAATGCACTGAAAAACATCCAACCAGTGTTACAATTGTAGAGAAGAACTTAATGAATAATGATGAATTTCTTCAACTGGTTTGGTTGAATCTAGTTTTTGATTTTGTGTTGATGCATTGCCTATTGATTCAGAAGGAGGTTTCAAATGATCTTTCAAGTCCTCTAACACGTAAGGCTCTATTAGGTTCCAGAACAAAGCTGAGTTTGTTCCCTGAAGTCCAATCCAAAAGATTTTTCCTTTCTTCTTAACTCGACATTCCATAGATTTGGCTCTAAGAGCCTTTACTACCTTCTCAACACCTTCTAGACTTCCCTTCAATCTCAAGATAATGTCTCCTGATGATGTTTTAAAGCCGCTGTACATGTACCAATACGCGAGTGAGTGTGGTGAGAGCCACCGATGAATCAGGTTTGGAATCTCTGGTTGACCCTTGGGCCAGAAATGTTCGGCGTAAAACCCGAAGTATGAATGGGGAACGGAGTAGAATTCGAACGGTATAATATCCTCTTGGAAATTGCTTAAAGGATGCAACCACTCGCGGAACTGGTCATGTATGTGTTGTTTAAGAATTAGATGAGCCTGAGAATTCTCTCTGAATTCAAATCTGATCATGTGGCTCTTCTTCTCTTTGTCTGATTCGATTTGCAAGCCACCTAACAGCAAACCTACCAATACCTCGCGCTGTTCTTTGCTTAGCTTCATGCTTAACGGTTTCTTCACCTCTTTTTTCTTCAAGCTCAGGATGTAATCAAGCTTTTCCATAAGCAATGGTTCGATTTCGTATTTCTTCATTCTCATCAGATCATATATTCTCTCTGCCTGCACTTGTTTTCCAGAATCTAAGTATCCTTTTAAAAGGTTGTTGCACGATCTAGCATTCACATTGATTGTCCCGTTGTTTTTCATTTCATTGAAGACATCCCCTGCTTTCTCAAGGTTGCCGATTTTAACCAATGAATCCAGATATATGTTATATATAGTCTGGCTAGGTTGGCATTTCTCCAAGCACTCAACAAAAGCCATCTCCAACTTCTCATGTAAACCCAAATCGAAGTACATTTTGGCTATTTCGATGTATGATGGTAGAAGCGGCTTCTTCCCGCTTTCTTCAAACTCCTTCAAGAGAGTTTCCACAAATTCCACTTGCTGGACTTTACATAGAACCTCAATGATTTTGTGGTAACCAGACACAGTTGCACCACCTAACTGCTTCTCCATCTCCCTGAATATCTCCAAAGCTTTCGCAAAATCACCTACTTTCGAATAAGCTTCCATTTTGTACACAAACGCCTGAGAAGGTATACCACAATCTAAATCAAGCAATTCAAGCCACGTCCTCTCAACTTCTTCCACACCTCCCTCCTTTGCATAAGCTCTAAGTAACGAGACCACAACTTCTTTACTCTCCTGAAAACCTGCCTTCATCATCTCTTCTCTTAGAAAGTTAATCCTGTCTTTGTCAACTTCCTCTTGGCAACTATGCAGCCAGATTAATCCGCTATAGATATCCTTCTGAACCTCAAGCCCTGTTGTCACAACATTGTGAAAGATAAACTCTGCTTGCTTAAGCTGATCATTCAAAATCCCTCCTCGTTTGCTTATCAAAGCTCTAAATAAAGAATTATGTAGACTAAGACGCGGTTTGTAACCTCCAAGTTGAATCATTCTATTGTAAACGCTACACGCTTCCTCGAGACAGCCTTCGACTGATAAGCTACTTAGATATGCAACTACAAGAATATGAAATGTAGATTCACTAGGAACACGCCCTTGATTCATAATATCATCAAATACCTCTCGGCATTTCGTAAATTTCCGTTCTTTGCCCAAGTAATCAGCTAGCTTCGTCACTAACCCGAAATCAAACCGGTACCAATTCTGCTGTGTCATCCATCTATACACCTAAAAGATCAAAACTTTCAACACAAATCCATTGATAATCTTCTAAAGATTGATGATTTGTTCAAAAAGGTTTTACCCTGAATCCAGTTTCGTTCTCACGAATCCGCATACAATGAACAGCGATGTAAGTAGCATCTTCTTGACGAACCCATTTCTTCTGAGCATTCAATAGCCTCACAAGCGTCACGGCCTTATGCGTCGGAACTTCTTTACACAGCCACGCTAGCTTCGACCGTCGCCATTCCTCCGGCAACTCTTCCAATTCTCTAACTTCAACCTCCGTCTCTACTCTACGAGTCGTAACATTCCTTATATCGTTCCTAGCAGACTCTACATCACCGAAATCGTTGGCTTCGCTGCTTCCTTCTTTCGATTCTGTAATGCCTGTAAGGTGTTCGACGAAAGTCCCGCTTCGTTGAGCAGCGGAATTAGCCGTGAAAAGTGGTGGAGTTCGCGTAGAAGAGTGAGAGAAGAATTGGGTTTTGTTTCCATGAACTGTGTGGATAGAGAGACAGCGGAGAGAGCGACGAGAGTAGCTGCTGCGGTGGCGGATGAGGGAGAAGGAAAGGGAACGGAGGAGAGTTGAGCTGGAATTGATGATGATGTTAGGGTTAGAGGAGAGAGAGGAGAGAGAGGAAATGTTGAAGGTTGTGACGGAGACGGCGGAGGAGGAGGAAGAGGCGACGGAGAGTGATGAAGAGAAGTCGCAAGCTCCGGTAACAATCATTGTTGCATTGTGGCCGTTAGTTTTTGTCAATGCCTAATCTACTTTTTTTTTTTTTTTTTTTTTTTTATTCTTTAGATTTTAAAATTTTATTTAAGGTCGTTTCAAATTTTTTTTTTTTTGGTGAGTAGGTCGTTTCAAATTTTGTAGAGATCATGTTCGAAACAAAAAATTATGATCTTGTTGTACAAAACTATTTTTTTCGTTAATTGTTACTATAAATCTTATCACAAATTTAATATTTACAAATTATCCCTATTCTAAAAATCTCCGTCTATCCCGATTACTCCCCGCTTAATCGCTAGGTCCACCCACTATAAAAAAAAGAGTGTATTGTATCACTTAATTTGTATCACAAAACTAAATGATATTACTTTAAATTACTTATTTATAAATGAAGCAAATATATATTACTTAACATCAATTATATTAATTGATGTAATAATTAACTAATTTTACATCAATTAAATAAAATTGATTGAATTTTTATTAGTTTGCATCAACTTTAAAAAATTGATACAAAATATATATTTACATCATTTAGATAATTAATCTATCTATTAATATTTGGTAAAATCATTTCTCAAAATGATATAAATCTTACAACAATAGAAACTGATGTAATTTACCAAAAAAAAAAAATAGAAACTGATGTAAAATTGTATTAAGGAGGCATTTTTAAATTATCCCACATTGACAACTTCTTTAAGGAGGGATGAGAATCCATCCTTTATAAATAACTAGATATGGACCCGTGCGTTGCACGGGTTGCTGGTCGAAATTGTCACTTATTTTTATAAAGTTTAACTAAAATTATATAAACAGCTATGTTTTAATTTTAGAAAATGCAACATTTTCATTATTTTTTAAATAGATTTATTATGCATAACGCACAATATAAAACACAATTTGTAGTTATTTTATACTAATTATTAAATCATCTAATATAAATCTTGGTCTATTTATCACCAACACCACCACTACCGCCTCTTCTCATCTTTTCCAACTGATCTTATTTCTCCTCCTTTATTTTCTCTAGCATCGAGCCGAGCCTCTTTCCGACAACAATTCTAGTCTATGTCCATTGCCGTTCATAATTTCTTAATTTGCCTCAATCGCCATATATTCTTTGGATCTAAATATAACATCCTATTTTTAGAAAACCATTGTAATTCAAAGTATTTATATATATATATATATATATATATATATATATATATATATATATATATATAAATGACATGATATATTTCTAATAAATGATAAATAATTTTTACATAATTCATGTTGTTCTTAAAGTCAATCTATCACCATATCCGTAACCATACACCACCACCATCGTCACTTCCATTAACAATCACATGCTACTCCTATTTCTTTTAGTATGATAGGCTATTATATTTAATGACATTGTTTTTTCCTCTGATTCTAGGTGGATGTCTCTCTTTCGTCGTCAAAATTCTAGTATTGATTTTCTTTATTTTTAGATTTCCTGTTATTAGTGTTTTTTTTTTGTTTTCTAAATCCTAATTACATGTATGTTTTGTCTTTTGTTTGAAGGCTATTTAATCGCTGAAAAATATTAGTTTCTAAAGGTTTAGTTTCTAAAGGTTTTTTTTGACTCAATGCTATTTCCTTAATTATTTTTTAGTCAAAGGTTAGTTACTAATATTATCTTAAAAGTAATTTATGACCAAAAAAAGAGAGGAAAAACTTTACTAATAGAATGAAATTAAAGAAATGATAGTGTTTCTCAAGAAATTAGTTTGCTTGGTGAGAATGAGACAATCTATTTTTTTCTGTAGAGGTGAGTATTTACAATCCTTTTTCTTATATGATTAATAAATTATATAATTTACTTAAAAAAATTATCCTATTCTTAAATCTTTTTTTTTTGTACAGTTAGTAACTTATAAATAAAACGTTTAGCATTATTTTATAATTTCTATTTTTATGAACAATACACACATAATTTCTTTATATATACATATACTTTCCTTATAATAATCTTTTTATATTATGAAACTCTTTAAATTTATAAATTTGTTATAATTATCTTTTTACAATATTTAATTTGTTAAAACCAAATTTTTGTTTGCCATATGACAAAATCTCTTATGGAAATATAGGTATAATTTCCTTATACTTTTTACATTTAAAACTATTTAAATTTATAATTATCTTTTTTCTTTTTACTTATTAAAAAGGAAATATTTATTTGACATATGGCAAAATCTAAGATTGATAGATTTGACACGTGTCACGAACACGTGAGTTATTAACTTTGAAAACCATACTTTATATAATAACATGTAACTCATTTGCCAATAATTATGTATAGTGGTCTCACGAAAACTAAAGTCAAATAATTTATTTGAAAGATATTGTTGACGTTTAGATTAATTCTTAGAATAGGTAATTTTAAAATAGTTTTATTATTAAATAATAAAATAATTATTATAAATGTTACAATTATTAAAATCACTGTTGAAATTTGACACTAGTTTTAGTATCACTTATTTATAAATGATGAAACATTAACATCAATTATTATAACCGTTACAAATATCAACATCATTTATACAAAGTGATTTAAAAAGGTAACATCATTTTTTGTAATTGATACAAAAATTAACATTAATTATAACAACTGATGCAAATATTATATATAATTACATCAGTTGTCAACAAAATGATATAAATTATTTACATCATTAATTTTTAAATCATTTACTTAAGTGATATAAAATTCTTTTACATCAATTTTAAGTAATACAAATATTCAAAATAAATGATATAAACGATTTTTTTTTGTAGTGACCCTATCCGCCTCGATTAATGACTAATCCACTAAAGAAAGCAGTTACCCATTACTCTCTGATACGAACTCCCAAAGATTGCACACTCTTGTTGGTATTGAAATGGATAGATCCTTAGATGAATAAGGCGGGGAAAGTGAATGGCTGCGTCGAGGGCTATGATCGGCACTCGGTAAACCTGGTTTGAACCGTAGGCTAACCACCTAAGGAACGGTTGTGACTCTTCGGCTAACCACCTTGGAATCGATTGAGATCAAGAGGCTAACCACCCAATGATCGAAGTGATTTCGTTGGCTAACCACCAAAGAGATCGAAAAAGTTCACAAAGAACAAGAGAGAAACTTCTCAAAAAGATTTTAGATAAAAGATGATTATTGAAATGAAAGGATTACATGAGTTTATAAGAAGAAGAATGAGAAGAGGCTAGTCATCAAGACTACCTTGAAAATGAAAACAAAGACTAAGACCAAAGACTAAAATAAATTAGAGTTCGAATGACCCTTGGATTCCAAGTTGGCGAGAATGTTCCATGGGTTTGGTCATGTCCTTTTGATTTATTTCCAACCATAATATAAATGCAATTCACATGAGTTTGGACCGTTCATGGTAAGCATAAGTCATTGCCTCGTTAAAACCTCTACTCGGAAAACCCATTGGGACAAAACCGAGTATAGGAAAAAGAGTACAACAACTTAGCTTGCGGCCAATCTCAAGATGAATCCACAAATGATATTGAGGTGAAGGTGCATTGCGTAAGTTGGTCTTCCTCCTTGTTCCTAACGTTGCCAAGTACTTTCCAAACAGCTCCGGCTAGCTTCCTTGTCTTGGATCGCGTCATGGGGCCTTCGGGAACGATCAATGCTTCCTCGGGAACCTCATCCAAAGCTTGCGTATCCATGATCATATCATCCCACTCCTCTTGAAAAGGATTTGTCCTCAAATCGACTCCATCTGCAATAAAAGGAATGATATCAGCAATGTTGAAGCTAGAGCTAACAGAATACTTACCTTGGAGATCAATTTTGTAAGCATTATCATTGACCTTCTCCAAAATAGTAAATGGTCCATCAACTCTTGGCAAGAGTTTAGACTTCCTTTCTTCCGGGAACCGCTCCTTTCTCAAGTAAATCCAAACAAGGTCGCCGGGTTCAAACGTCTTTTTGTTCCGACCTTTGTTGGCTTGCTTGCGGTATTGCTCGGTTTTATGCTCAATGTTTTGCTTTGCCTTTTCATGCATTAGCTTGACCAGCTCAGCCTTTTTCTTTCCGTCCATACTTACACGCTCACTCAAAGGTAAAGGAGTTAGATCAAGAGGTGTAAGCGGATTAAAGCCATAAACAAGTTGAAAAGGAGAAAAACAAGTAGTAGAATGCACGGCATGATTATATGCAAACTCTACATGTGGTAAACAATCCTCCCATGACTTAAGATTCTTTTTGATCACGGTTCTCAAGAGTGTCCCTAGAGTCCTATTAACCACTTCGGTTTGTCCATCGGTTTGCGGATGACAAGTAGTAGAGAAACAAAGCTTAGTTCCTAGCTTAGACCATAAGGTCTTCCAAAAATAACTCAGAAACTTTGTATCCCTATCCGAGACTATGGTCCTAGGCATTCCATGCAGACGGACAATCTCCTTAAAGAATAAGTCAGCAATGTTAGATGCATCATCAGTTTTATGGCAAGGTATGAAATGTGCCATTTAAGAAAACCTATCGACCACAACAAAGACCGAATCTCTACCATTCCTAGTCCGAGGTAAACCTAAGACAAAATCCATCGAAATGTCGGTCCATGGTGCACTAGGAATCGGTAAAGGAGTGTACATACCTTGGCCTTGGCTTTTTGATTTAGCGAGCTTACATGTGGTGCATCGGCTGCAAATTCGTTCAACATCACGCTTCATGTGCGGCCAAAAGAAATGATCTTGCATAATGGAAAGAGTTTTGGTCACGCCAAAGTGTCCCATCAAGCCTCCTCCGTGTGCTTCCCTAACAAGAAGATCTCGCAAAGAAGAGTTGGGAATGCAAAGTCGATTTTCATAAAACAAAAACCCATCACTTCTAAAGTACTTTCCTTTAGCAAACTTTTCACAAGTAAGGAATACTTCCTGGAAGTCTGGATCGGTTGCGTATGCTCCCTTGATCATCTCAAATCCGAGAATCTTGGCATCGAGAGTCGAGATCAAAGTGTACCTCCGAGTTAGAGCATCGGCCACCACATTCTCTTT